GTAGGGTTGGAGTGGCTGTAGGGCTGCAGGATGGTTGGAAGGCTTGCAGGATGGTTGTAGGGTTGGGATGGCTGTAGGGCTGTAGGATTGTTGTAGGGTTGGGATGTTTGTAGGGCTGTAGGATGGCTGTAGGGTTGCAGGTTCATTGTAGGGCTGTAGGATGGTTGTAAGGTTGGGATGGCTGTAGGGTTGGCGTAGCCGTAGGGCTGTAGGGTGGTAATAGGGCTGCAGGATGGCTGTAGGGTTGGGGTGGCTGCAGGGTTGGGATGGCTGTAGGGCTGTAGGATTGTTGTAGGGTTGGAGTGTTTATAGGGCTGTGGGATGGTTGTAGGGCTGCAGGATGGCTGTAGGGTTGCAGGTTCATTGTAGGGCTGTAGGATTGTTGTAGAGTTGAGATGTTTGTAGGGCTTTAGGATGGGTGTAGGGTTGGGGTGGCTGTAGGACTGTAGGATGGCTGTAGGGCTGCAGGAATGTTATAGGGTTGCAGGATGGTTATAGGGCTGTGGTATGGCTGTAGGATCATAGGATGGTTTTGGGGCTGCAGGACGGTTGTAGGGTTGGGGTGGCTGTAGAGTTGGGATGGCTGTAGGGTGGGGGTGGCTTGTAGGGCTGTAGGATGTCTGTAGGGCTGTAGGATGTCTGTAGGGTTGGGATGGCTATAGGCTGTAGGATTGTTGTAGGGTTAGGATGTTTGTAGGGCTTTAGGATGGGTGCAGGGCTGCAGGATGGTTATAGGGCTGTAGGATGGCTGTAGGGCTGGGATGGCTGTAGGGCTGTAGGATGGTTATAGGGCTGTAGGATGGTTGTAGGGCTGTAGGATTGGTTGTAGGGCTGTAGGATGGCTGTAGGGTTGGGATGGCTGTAGGGCTGTAGGATGGCTGTAGCGTTCTGGGATGGTTGTAGGGCTGCAGGGTGGTTGTAGGGCTGCAGGGTGGTTATAGGGCTATAGGATGCTTATAGGGTTGCCCACCCCCCCTCCCCATTGCAGTTGGGGTTTCACGGTGTTCCACGAGAACGAGAAGCACGACAGGCAGCAATGGTGAGCAGAGCGGGGCAGGAGCCCACAAAACCCCATTATCCCCTCCCGACCCTATAGATGGGGAGCCCTATAGGGCCTGGGTTGACCCCGCTGACCCCGTAACCCCACAGGTATCTGTGCTGTGACACACAGGCCGACCTCAGGGAGTGGTTTGCAACCTTCCTGCATGTGCAGGTGGGAGCTGTGCCCCAAAACCCAATGGGACCCCAAAACCCCAATGCCACCCCATAACCCCAATGGGACCCAAAACCCCAATGGGACCCCATAACCCAATGCCACCCCATAACCCTAATGGGACCCCATAACCCCAATGGGACCCCATAACCCCAATGGGACCCAAAACCCAATGGGACCCCATAACCCCAATGGGACCCAAAACCCAATGGGACCCCATAACTCCAATGGAACCCA